CCATGTTTCACAGTCATAGAGTAGAACAGAGCGGACTGCTGTGTAGACGTAGTATGCGCGACCCTTAATAGACAATAGGATATCGCCGCGGTGGCTCCACAGGTGATGTGAGTTGGCAAAACCAATCGAGCCTTTCGTATTTGAGCAAAGATTTCATGGGCTACTAAGTCACCAGGTCTGGGCTGACCCCACTTTGCAGGTAAGTGAAGTGGTCAACACACTCAACTACTACATTCTCTATTGTTAGCCAAGGCACCGTTGAAGACCGATGCTAGAGTAACAATTTGTATTTGGGTGGTGAGAAACGCATCCCACACATTCTGAAATTGCTACTCAGTGTTCGGAAGACTCTACATCTTGTCAGTGTCTTCAACTAACAGGGCTATGTCATCTGCATATTTTAGGTCTGAGGAAAATTCTCCAGGGATTAGGTCAACCTGTGTGTAGTCAGGTGATGAGAGGTAGATCTTCATAAGAATATCTATAATAAAATTGAATAAGAATGGAGACAGTGGGCAGCCTTGACGGATACCACTGGACTAGCACAGCTCCTCGTACATGTCACCGTAGGCTCTAACACGCCCACAAGTGTTCGAGTAGAGAGCCTTCAATAAGGTGATATACTTACTCGGCACGCCTTTCATTGAGAGACATTGTTGTAAGACTTCTGGATCAACGGAGTCGGATACCGCATTCAGTTCGAGAAACGCAGCTATTGTTGGGGGTCGGTAAGCGTGGGAAGTTATTGGTGTAGAATTTCGCGCCAAAGTCATTGTCTAATCGTTTAAGCATCCTTTGAAAGTGATTTGTCGGCTTTCCGCATATCTTGTTCAAGCTACGAACCAGATGTTTGTGTGTGTTTATGTGTATGTGTATACATGAAACTTACTTGTCTTTACAGCTTTATACTATACTAATTTTGTGCTGGTAGAAAACGAATGAAAATTAGACATTAGCTGTTAAAATATTGTTTGAAAAACGCCTAAGTTATGCTATAAACATCTGGATTGCGAATTGATAGCAGATGTTCTGTATATACGCGTTCAATGACCACACTGGGTGGTGATAAAATGGGGCTACTTTTTCCCTGACTAGTTTAGACTATGTCTGTTTTGATTTTATTTTATGAAGCGAATCTGTTATTTGCTGACAGTTTTTTTAATCATCGTCAGAAATCAAGAGGCACTGTATACTACCTCCGGTTAACACCTTGCAAATGAAGATGGATACCTTTTTATGCTATCCGGCGTATTGAGTAATGCTGATGGTTTTTTGGGTCTTTGTATTCCAGCTCAATGGAGTATTTGGTAAGGCGCTTAGCACAAAACCGCAAAGGTCTGGTTTACTCTCGCGTATAGACTAAACGTCATAGCCTGTTGAGTAGCTTACAAGCTGAGACAAAGTATCTCTGTCTCTCCTCTCACTCTCTCCGTAAGTGATTTGGTGGCTTGCGCTGACCAACTGGTTTGCGATTGGTTGTTTCCTTTGATTGTTGTGTCATTAACTGCATAGACTTTTCTGTTAGCTGTTCCCCTGCTTCACCTCTCACCTTTCTATCGTTTATCATTTTTCTCATTCCTTGATAGATTGGGTCTATGTCTATACATCTATTGATTGCTCACTGACTGACTGACTGACAGACGTGAATGCCAAGCTCCTAGGAATTCTCTCATATTCTTTGTCTTTCCTCTCTCCCTCCAAGATTTCTACAATGTCAAAATTCAATTCATCTCCATAGTTGTTATCCACATGCATTGAAATAAGCAGCGATGACATGTCGTGATGTTTAATAGTTAATTGATGCTCATGTAGACGCAGGTGAAGAGGGCAACCGTTATGTCCAATGTAGTGTTTACTACAGTTATTCCAGTTGATTTTGTAAATGATATTCGGTTTGTCTGTCTTGTTTGGTTGTTGCATCCTTTGGTCTGCACAGTTGGGTTTGGAGGGAATTTGTTGGTTTATGAGCCAGCCACACCAATTTCAAGTGGTTTCAGTAATCTTGTTGTGATCTCCCATGTATTCTTTATGTATGGTAGGATGATGCGTTTGTTGATTTCTGTGGATGGCTTTGTAGTTGATGATGTGTGGGATAGGCATATAATCCTAAAGTTTCGTGTGTAGCTGTTCTTCTTTAGGATGGACATCAAGTAATTTTATTCGTTTCTCCGTGAAGTTGATGTACTGCAATGTGTTCTCACTCTTTTGAGTAGAGTCTGCATGCAACTGATCTTGTGGTTTGTTGCTATTGTAGTTGAGGACTTGGTCATTGTGTGTTGGCTTCCTGTACATTCGGGTTTCCAGCTTTCCGGCATTTGTTCTATTAAATTTTGAAGGGGTTGTGGAGATTTGGAAATATTTCAAGTTGTTATTCATCGAAGACTGACATCAGTTGGAGGAACAAAGGAAACCTGGTAGCACTGGACAGCTGTTTCGTCATAGTATGGGACTCCTCAGCAGTGCGCACCCACGACCCCACCAGCAGGGATCGAACCCGCGACCTTCTATTGACTAGAACACCCAAGAATGATAGTTGGTTGTTTGACTCCTTCTTCATTGTGAATCTGATATCGCTGAAAACGTTGTTGATCAAATTGTGGATGTTCTCTATATCATATTTTTAATGATGACAAAAGTGTCGTCCACATAGCGAATCCAGAATTTCAGTTTGATTATAGGTAGGATGGTGGCTTCCAGTCTCTGCAACACTGCTTCTGCAATTAGTCTGGATATTGGTGATCCCATTGCAGTCCCTTTCATCTGTTTGTATATCTTGCCGTTGAATTGGAAGTATGTTGTGAGACAAAGGTTGATGAGTTCCATTAGAATTGAACATTTAAGTTTAATGCGTTCTGAAGGGGTTGGGTCTTTAATGAACAGGAGGGAGATACTTTCCTTGACCATTTGGGGGTTCGATGGATGTGTATAGTGCTGTGACATAGAAGAATACCGTTAATTCATAGTTTTCTATGTTAATGTTTTTGAGATTTTCTAAAAATTCCGTTGGTGATTTGATGGAATATTCGCATGGTTGAACAAGGTATTTCAATTTTCTCGAAAGTTCTCTTGATATGTTGTATGTTGAATTGTAGACATAGACTCAATCTATCAACCAGTTGGAGAAATGATGAGACAACAAAAATATCAATCAGTGACACAACAATCAAAGGGAACAACCAATCAGAAACCAGCTAGTGAATTTCTCATAGAAAGATATTGATAGCTCACTGTATTCAGAAGTTAGTGGTGATGATTTCGCTGCCTAGAAAGACGATGAAAGCTCCACGAATAAACAACCTAGCTCAGAAAACACAATACAACCAAGACCATCCACTTGAGCTACAGATATTCTGCATAATTTTGAATTCGCTCCAGTTTCTCATAATAGCTGGAATATTTTTTTTGGCATCGGTTTATTAGTAGAACTAAAATGGATCTATGACTCATTGAGTTAGATAGAGATGATTTTCAAGTATCGGATCACGGGTTCAAAAGCCCGCTCCATCTACCGATGTTTTGGCAGCACTCATATGCACAATTAGTGCAGGTGATTGCCGATGAAATCTCTGCGTGTATGCAAAAGGCTCGACTGGCTTTTGCCAACTCACGTCACCAATTGCGTCACCACGATATCCGAATCTCTATTAAGGGTCGCGCATACTACTTCTACACAGCAGTCCGCTCTGTTCTACTCTATGACTGTGAAACATGGTCAGTGAAAGTGGAAGACATGAGAAGGCTTGCTTGATGTGTTTGACCACCGTTACCTTCGAAGTGTAGGTCGTATTCCGTGGTGTCACCAAGTGAGTAACGCAGATGTCAGGTGTGTAGTTTTAGAGAGGGAGAAGAGATAAGTGAGTGAATGATGCTGTTGTGAACGTTCATTGGATGAGATGGTTGGCTCCGACATATCTTATAAATGCCTAGTCACCGTCTGCACCGTCACACAACGTTGGGTGAAGTAGGTCGAGGCTGGAAAAAGGCTCATGGCTGTCGACCCGACTAAAACATTCCATCATTGTATGAAGTGTTTGAGTGTTGGTTTGAATCATGTGGAGCGATGTAGACTGGGTGGTTGGGTTCCGTGGGACAAGAGAAACGAACCAGTTGTTGGAGACTTACTCTGTATGATGATATGGCTGAGAACCGATGTGAGTGGCGCAGACGTATCCCCACACATTTTATCCTCATCTTAGCGATGCCATACCGAATCTCATCATTTTCTCATTCTCCCTTTCTATCTTTTTGTACTTTATCTGTGTTTCGATTGAATTTCCTTTTATCTTTCACCTTCCACTTCACTGCCTATTTACTGGATGTGGTGATATGAGTTATGGCTACTCGGAGGGTTACTTGGTAATGCCAGGTTCAATGTTGATTTGGATTGATGGATGGTAGATGGAGTTCATTGGAGAGCTGTTTCGTACTGATGTAGGACTCCTCAGTCATTGCGCTTCCATGTCTCCACCGCACCAGGGTTCGAATCTTCCATCCTCAGGTTCCGCGGCCATCACGTTTCCTTTGAGGTAACCTTTGGTTTAGAATCTAGTGGTCCATCACCCAATGTCGTTGTTAAGTATTTTTCCTCCAACTGTTATCACACATACCTACGTATATATGGTAGAAATGAGAAGGGATTGTTTGTTCTTCATGATTGAAGTTGTTTGTGAGCTACGATCTACTTCAAGTCAATTCTTCACCATGGACTGATATCAGTTCAGAGGCCATTGATGATTACCTTTTGAGTACTGGGGAACTTATTGTATCCTAATTATGCAACAACTCAGCAATGCACACACCCATTAATTGCATGACCTATTTAACCTGGGACTGTTATGTTTTGTTAACTCTACTGTTCAACTAATTGATGGTAATATAAAAAGTGATTCATATTTTACTTTCCTGTTTTCTTATTTGTCAATATCAACTGTTTTTTTCTTCTTATCTATAATATAGGTTAATTGGTGTTTCTGTTATTTGTGTTTTCTCACTTTTCTTAGGATAAATTATTTTTTAGGCTTGGAATGGGTGCAGGTTCAAACATTCTTGCTCGATATGCTGTAAGTTGTTTTTGTTGTTACTGTGCTCTCTGTGAGTTTGTTCACCACCTGATCAATCTAATTGCTTTGACCACTATTGTATACACTTGTCATATTATTATTATTTATTATTTGTCCCTTGGTTTCCTAGTGGAACATAGGCCTTCACTATCACCTCGCCACTTCACTCTCTTCTCTTCACTTCCTTTAACCTGACTACACTACTGCCCACAAGCTCTCATTTCCTCCTCACACAATCTCCTCCATGTCACCCTCACCTTCGACGCCTAACTAGCCGTTCCCCATTTCCCTTTCTCTCGACAGCCTGACTTGGCCTGACGCGTGATGTCCCCAAACCATCTTCTCAGTCAATGTCTAATACAATACAATCCATCTCCACCTTCTTGTTCTACATATTTGTTGGGCGATAGGTTCTTCGTTGGTTGGTTGGTTCGATGGAAGCCACCCAACTAGAGTTGTTTGTTGCTTGTTCTTATTATTCTTGCCATCTGACCTTCAGTGTTAGTATGGAGTGAGTGTAGGCTGCAGCTGTAGTGATGTATGTGATGTATGTCTACAGTTTGTTGGAAATGCTTTTCGTAAGGCGCCAAGTCTCTCAACCATCACATTGAAGCACTGACTTACTTGACTAACCTTACTGTTGAATATCAAGATGTTGTTCACACTTTATGCTGAGTGCAGTGCAGTAGATCTCCACACTGATTTCAGGTTGTCATATGAGTATGTTTTATTCTATGTGCTTTAGTAATGATAATAATTCAAGGTGATGATTGGAATTGAAATGCAGATTTGGACAGCGGCTGGACTCGAAACCCCCTGTGCTGTAAGCTAGGTGATCCAATTGCTGACCAGATTACCAAAGGGGTTGGGTGTTCTGCTTGAGTACCCATGTGAATTTGTTACGCGTTACTGTTCCTTGATGGTACTTACACTGGTTGGACATTTAGGACTTCTAATTATCCAAATCTACTTGAATTGGAGACGGGGAGGGGGCGTCATATCATCTCCGGTTCGAATCGTGTTGCAGCCTAGATTTTCATATCGCCTCCAATTATCACCGAGTATTAATACATGTCTGCCAAACCATGGCTACTTTGGATAACCAAACCATTACTACCGGAATCGTGAAACCGGAGCAACTCCCACTAGTCTTGTTTACTCTTAGGCACGCCAGCTTCAGTAAGCAATGAAGTCGAGGGCTTCCCTTTATAGACAGTATAATGTTTCATTTCAGAAAAATAAGAATACAGCCACTTTGTAACCCATGACTCAGTATGATCTATGGTAAGCTTATTTACCAACATTGGTCTGTGAACAGAGTCAAAGGCTGATGAGTAATCTAAGAAGGTACAATGAACATACTTAACACCTTCTCTGTCTTGACTAGAAACGATATTATGATTATGGAAGACAGTGACAGCATCTAAAGTGCTTCTCTTGTGTTTGTAAGCAATCTGTTTTGGATCTCTGAAAATCGTTGATGAACGTTCAGTCACAAGGAGAAGTAATTTCTACATTGTCTTTAAAAACGGGGAAGTTATAGCGATGGGTTGAAACGTTGCATTTAATCCAGAGGATGTCTTAGGCATAGGTAAAACTTTGGTCTCCTTACAGGCAGCGGTTACTGTGTTTTAAAAAATGATGCATTGAAGATATTTGTAAGGAGATGACACAAAATATTTGCACACACCATCAGGACCTAAGCGTTGGTATGGATTCAAGGATTTAAGACATTTAAGTACGCCATTTGTATTAAAACGAAGAAATCAGCCATCCATTTGATTATGGACATTAGAAAGGATGAAATCAGCAGCTTGCCGACGTATAAATGACTTGTTTAACACGCAGACATTCGAACAAGTTTTTTTCGTCATCTGTTTTCTACCAGTAAGCTCTTTGATTAATTTCCATACATTGGAAGAGTTCTTACACGATAGAAACTTCCAGTTGCACATAGTATTCGGACCGTTGTATTTCAGACTAAATTAGGCGATTAAGTTTTTTACTTCCAGGGTGATCTCTCATCTTATGCAAACTTTTCTTTTCTCTCCGGAGCCTCTTGAGATGAAAGAGGTTTGAAACTTAACAAATGATTCGCATGATGACTTAGACGTAGGTACAACTTTAATCTCCTTCCAAGCAGGCGTTCATTAACCCGAAACCAGTGTGGAGATCTGCAATCAGCATACAGCGTGAACAAGATCCGCATTTTCAACACAACTGCCAAGTCAGTGCTTCTATATGGTTCGGAGACTTGGCGCGTTACGAAAGTCATTTCCAACAAACTACAGATATTCATCAACAACTGCCTACTCTGGCTTGTTACTCAAGATCAGATGGCCAGAATAATAGGAATAAGCAACAAGGAACTCTGGCTGGCTGGTGAGGAACCAACCAAGAACCTATGACTCAACAAATATGGAGAAGAGTGTGGAAGTGGAGATGGATTGGGCATGCAGTGAGAAGACCATTCGGGGACATCACACGCCAGGCCATCAAGTGGAACCCAGATGGGAAATGGCCAGTTGGGCATCGGAGGTGAGATTGGTATGGAGCAGAAAGTGTGAAGAAGAAATGAAAGCTTGTAGGCAGTCGTGGAGCCAGGTTGAAAGAGAAGACTGCAGAGAAGAGAATGCAATGGAGACGTGCTAGTGAAGCTATATGTTCCACTAGGAACCCAAGTGACTAACAGTAATAATATAAAACATTTATGTTGGCGCGCACTACTGAAGATTCTCATAATAGGAAGAAATGGCTGTTCAGTGCTTCCAGGTTTCCAATGTTCCCCAAGTGGACTGATGACATATTTTAGTCTGGCCACCAATAATTCCGTTTCAGCCTAAACCCACTTTGGCTACCATTCAAGGTTTGGATAGACAATGGCTAGGCGTTTAATGTACATGTCATAAAGCTTTTTATTTCGATTATTATTATTTCTCCTTTTCTGCTTGCGATATTTGAAACCAAAGCAATCAAACGCAGAATTAATGGCAGTGTATGAATAAAGTACAACAGTTGACAGATTGCAAACGTTGAACCATGAGATGTCTGTGGACCTATCGCCGTCAATACCATGGTAATGCATCAATGATATAGGCAGCAAGGCTGTATCAAAAGCAAACCAGAGAAGAGTGTGAAAATAGCACGAATTTCCAAGTTAAAGTAAAAGATACAAGATAAACAAATATTTAAGGTAAAATAGAACATCAGAGAAGAATTTAAGAGGAGCCCAACAGAATCATGAACTAGTATATATGTTAAATGACGAACGAAATATTAATGTGATGTGAATGAACAATAAAAATTGCAGATATTTTGAGAGAACATGAATTACACTACTCATTATTAGTAAGTAGCACAAAATTTATTCATAAAAGAGGAAAAGTGTAGACCGTAGATTGAAGTTGAAATCCTTTCACTTTGTTTATAGAGACTTTTTTTTATTGCTATTTTCACCACAATTCGGTCTTTTCTACGCTCTAATACTCGTCTGTGATTGCTTATAGGTCTTCCTTTATTTTGAAGTATGTTAGTTGTCCACTGCAGAGGAATCCACGCCTTGTTATTACCTAGGTCCTAGGTCATTATTCGCTGCATTTCATTTTATTTTAATCGTATAGTTGTTTACCCCTCCTTATAATTTAGCATTCATCTCCTTGTGTTAACTTGGACTAATTGCTAAGTGCCATTATCAGATCTTGTCTTGTTTTTATTTGTTCATATGTTAGATATGTAATTCAGAGATATTAAGATATCGCTTAGGCCCATGGAGTAACTATAACTCTTTCGGCAGCTTAGACTCATGCCATAGGTATGTGCCAGGACGTAAACTTGGAGAAGCCCTTTATGGTGGGGCTAAGTGGCACTAGTTCTGTGTTGCTGGTTGGTTGGCGCCAGATGGTGTTTTTTTTGCACCGGGGACTATGGGTCGAGCCCTGTTGTGTGAGTCAGTAATCCCCTTCATGAGCCTGTTGTATGTCAAATAACAGTCAAGTTAGCTTAGCAAAAACCACGGTTGATCAGAACCATATGCTCAGATCAGTGAGGCCAGGTTCCAAGGCGCAGACGGTTTTTATAAGCCGTCAGGATTGGGTGGAATACACTGGAAACAGTGCAATCGAGATGTAAGGTGAATCCAGCTTCTCTATTCCAATAGTAATTTTTTTGTTGAAACAATCCCAAGAATTTGGGTATAGTTTACGTTACGAATGCGAGTGATATTCTATTCGGAACTTGAATATTATTTTTGTAGGTGTAGCTGTATATCAGTGACCCGAAGGGAGACACCCTTGTGAATCTGTCGGCATAATGGATTCATGAGCTATGCCTTTTAGAGAAATGTTTTGTCAGAAAGGTGAGCTGTATTCAGTCTGTAAGATTACCGATATACGTTCGACACATGTCTGCTCATGGGGAGGGGAGTAAAATCAACGGATTGATTGCTCGACGAATGTGGATACGTTGAAGCTTGACTCTTAAGCTGGTTTGAGTATAACCCTAATCAATTTAAGGCGGTGTTAACAGAACGCTTTTCATGTGAATCTGTTGCTTAGATGTCTCCTACTAGGCTAGAGGACCGATCCGTTGACTTTAAAGTAGGCAGCTGGTTATCATGATTAACGCATATATACCACACGTTCGCCTCATTGAATTGTAAGTAAATTTTATTTCAGGCTAATGAATCTAAGTAACAGTTGGAAGAAGATTTAGAGTTGTCATACCAAAACTTGACACCAGTTCATGAAGTCTCTGACTGTTGAATGAAGATATGGATTATCTGGTAGGGGTCCCCGAGATGAAAGGAATCAGTAGTTTAGAACTCTTGAGGAAATGTCAGGAAATCGGTTACAGTAGTAAAAACCACTCAGACAAAATCGCTTAAGTTCTGAATAGTTTAGCTTTGTGAACTGGATTTTTTTCCTTACTCCACTGATGAACTGGATCTTAAATGGAATAAACATTTGTCCAGTGTTTAGGTCACTTCGATATGCTTAGCGAAATCTACTGATCAGTTGGTGTATGTTTGTGAGGCGGGGGGTTCCTACTACTCATTTTGTTCAGTAGTATACTTAGATGGCTTTTTATCTTTTTTGTACAGTTATGATATCGACATGAATGACAGGTGTTCATGGCATGTGAATAAGTTGGAAGACTTTAGTGGTAAATAGAGTAGTTTCTTCTTCTTTTGGATGATAGTTTGTTGGAGGCATTCTACACGAAGTCTTGGCTCTCAGGTTTCTTACTTGTTGCCACTCGCCGCTATGGTGTATCTACAGAACTAAGGGGAAGGCTATCCATTCTGAGATCTGAACTCGGGTGACTCAGTTAGTGATTTTACCACTGAGGTTCACGATTGCCATCATGTTGTGCTGGATTAAATACACTTATTGATTGCTCATTTTGTCCAGTCGTAAAGGCTGACCGAGTTTCGTCGATTATTTTGCAATTAGGCAATTAAATTAGAAAGTAGATCGAACTCAGTTCACTTCTGATGGACAGTAGTTGGTTGGAGGTAATCGTTCCTTTGAGTGAGATTACTTGAGGCAATCAAACTGCTATGACCATTGTAAATATTATCATTTCTTCTTGGTTATATATTTTACTACTATATTCCAATTAAGTAGCTTAACAATGTATCCTATTTTTTCTCATCTTTATTCTCTTTGTTACAGCTACGTTATCCAGATCAGGTTTTGGGTTTATTTCTTATTAATCCGAATGCAACAACACATGGTTATTACCAATGGTTCCGTAATGTTTGGTCTGATTTACCAGCACTTGAACGTGGTGTACTCACTGATAGTCTAATGAGTCAATTAGAAGCTCATTGGTTCGGTTATGTGAGTTTGTTTTAATGACTCATTGTTTCTCTCTCCTTTTTTTTCCTGGATTTCATCTAAACCATAAACAGTTAGGTGTTTAAACCTTCATGTTATTATTATTATTTATTTGTCCCTTAGGTTCCTAGTGGAACATACGGCTTCTCTAGCACGTCTCCACTGCACTCTCCTCTGTGCAGTCTTCTCTTTCAACCTGGCTCCACGACTGTCTACAAGCTTTCATTTCTTCCTCACACTTTCTGCTCCATACCAATCTCACCTCCGATGCCCAACTGGCCATTTCCCATCTGGGTTCCACTCGATGGCCTGGCGTGGTGCGTGATGTCACCACATAGTCTTCTCAGTGTAGGTCCAATCCATCTCCACTTCCTTCTGCATACTTGTTGAGTCATAGGTTCTTGGTTGGTTCGTTCCCGCAGTCAGTTCCTTGTAGCTTATTCCTATTATTCTGGCCATCTGATCTTGAGTAACAAGCCAGAGTAGGCAGTTGTTGATGAGTGTCTGTAGTTTGTTGGAAATGCTTTTCGTGACGCGCCAAGTTTCTGAACCATATAGAATCAGTGACTTGATACTAATGTTGAACATTCGGATCTTGTTTGCGCTTTATGTTGAGTACAGTAGATCTCCATATCGGTTTTAGGTTGACAAAAGCCTGTCTTGCTTTTCTGATCCTGGTTTTGACATCCTCATCTATGCTTCCTGTAGACTTGATCTTTTCCCAGATAGTAACTTGGTTATTTGATATAATGTTGTCAGGTCTTTCCTTCCAGCAGCCTGTTCTACTTCACTTGTCAATGTGTCGAAGAAGTGTCTTTTGTCTTTGTGTGCGCTCTTCTTCATTTCTTTGTCCAGTTTAGTGTTTTGTAGGTTCTGTTCAGTTTCTGTTTTCGTTGTTTATCCCTGCACTGGTTCACCTTCTGCTTACCCATCCTACTCCCGCTCCGTCGAGATCCATTCCTTGTTTTGTTCTTATCTTCTTCCTTGCTAATACGGTTATACAGTTTCTTTCCACATCTCTTCCAGAGAGTTCCGGTGTTCTTCTACACAGGTTTCTTCGGGGGTGTTGCTAAATATCTCCCATTTTGTTCTGATGACTTACCAAGTGAGGATGTCCTTTGTAGTTTCGTCCTTCAGTCCAGTTTCTGTTCCGGGTATTGAACTTGAACTGTGGCCTATCACCAACTTCTTTAAAGGCTTTCAACTTGATTTAGAAAATTCTTCTCACTAGATAGTGAGTGGTCCGAACCTACATCTGCTCCTCTTCTTCATCTTGTGTCCAGTAGGCTGCATCTCCACTTTCTTGAGATTGAGATAAAGTCGATCTGATTTTAGTGTGTCCTGGTATCTGGTGGGATCAAATCAATGTCGCCGCCTTGTGAATTTCCTTGTGTTTGTATACATTGCTTCCAATCACCAAATCGTTGAATGTGCAGAAATCTGCAAACAGTTCTCCATTCTGATTCATTTCACCGAGTGCTTCTCGACCCATGACCAGTTCTGTCACTGTGTTGTCCGCTCCGAGTTTGATATTCATGTCACCCATTGGAATAAATTTTGATGTCGCCATCTGAGGTGGGGTCTTGTTTAGTACTGACTGCAGTTGTCTGTAGAATTCTTCCTCTTTCTCTTTATCTGCATTATTTGTTGGCGCGTAGCGTTGAATGATTGTGACTTTCCTTCCTTTTGAGTTGAATCTTGCTGTCATGATTGTGAGCCTGTGGAAGGAGATTGGTTCCCATTGCATGAGAGCGAGCCTTCGATGGTGTTGGGGACATCATGATAGCCACTCGCAAACTTAGTGTGCTTGTGATTGTCGTTTGGGTGACAATAGATTATTGACTGCTCTGCAGTTGACAGTTTGGAGATTTCACTTCCATTCCATCTGCTTATCTCTCGAAGATTCCTGGCACTTCTGTGCTTTACCTTCTCATCTCTTTTGCAATCTGGGCTGCCTTGGTAGGTTCAAACATTGTTCGAACATTCCATGTCCCCACGTTTACTTTCGCTTTCATCGAGGAAGAGAAGACACATCGGCCAATCGGCTTCCCGAAGGCTTTCACCAACTGACGTCATTTCGCCTCTCCGATTCCAACAAGGAATAAGTTTATTTTCATTTTTTATATTTCCTTTGTGCTTTGAGATTTCTTTAGCGATTGGATTGGTTTTACGGGGTAGGGTTGCTAAGCCGTATGCCCAACCTTCCCTCTTTACCTGGGCCTAGGACCGGCTGGTAACTAGTCAACTGGTTAAGCAGGCGACGTCTGGTATGTAAGATTACTACTTATTATTTAAAAGTAGTATAAATGGATAGCATAAAAACACGGCATGAGTCGCATGATTTAGTATGCTTGAATTGATCTGTTGCAAAAATTTCCCACAGATGCATCTCTTCGACATTCCACTTTGTCATTTAGTTGACAGAAACGGAATATCTACGTGTCAGGGTTCTCAGTTTGTGTGGCCCTTTGAAATTGTCCCTCGCCTCAATAAGCATTTCTTTTAAAAACCTGACGTGGTCATGGCTGAGCATTGCTGGGGAGTCCTATAACAGAGTGAGACAACTATCAATTGCTCCTAAGTTTCCAAAGTTCCTCCAACTGATGTCAGTCTATGATGAAAACCAACTTGAAAAAATCCCCACAAACAGTTTCAATTGATGTAATGCGTCTTGGCAAGTAGCTTCAGGAGGTGGTTCCTGAAGTTCCGATGAGAAGCAGTGACGCATAGACCAAACCTAGTGGATGTGAGGATGAATAATCAACAATAAAATTGAGTGATGGTTGCGCTATGTCGTGAACTGACAGAAGTTGGAAACATGAACCACTGGATTGCGACCCAATGGCTAGTTCTATGATGACGTTGTGGCCTTGGAACCTGAAGGTCCTCGGTTCGATCCGTGACGGGGAGATGTGTGATGGGTGCGTACCAATTTCAAAAATCATATGCATGAATCATTGAAAAAATTCCAGTTTTTCCAATTTTTTTTTCCTCTCCTTTACAGGGTTTAGTTGAAAGTGTTGATGTTGCCAATTTCTATGAATCATTGACACGTAGTCTAAATCCAGTCAATTTAGCTGGTTATATACGTTCATATGTGGATAGAACACCATTGCCGTTGGTTCGACCAATTGGTCCACCAATGCCATCAACAACCGATAATCAGGTGAATAGTGGTAATGAAGAGCCAACAGTTATACAAACTGAAGTTTGTCTAGTTACTGGTGATCGTGCTGTTGAATTATCACGTGCATTAGCCGATATGAATGGACGTATGGATCCAAAACGTACACAGTTTCTAACGGTAATTTATTCTCCTCTCTACACGACTGATTTATTGTCATGTTTGGATAATTTTTACTTTATTGAGTGATTGTCATATAAAAAATCTTATTGTGAAAACCTTCAGTTTCACTTCTAAAGATTACATTCACTTTGAACCCCTGATATTGTGTTGTTTTTCTAAAGTTTAATAGTTTGCATATTACTGATGAGTGCCAACATGTGCGAAATCTATATCAAACAGAACTTTCTTCTGACTAATTTCTAAACTAAAAGAAAGTGGGACAATTTCTGAGTCCATATACGAGTCAGGAGTAATACGCCACGATTTTATAGTCTTCCTAAAGTACACAAACCTGAACACCTTCTTCGTTTAACTCTGTATAGTATGCAGTTGCTAAATGTTTAGTAAGGATTTCAGATCCTGTACACAAAGAATTAGTTAGTCATCATAGTGTAAAAGATGTCTTTGAATGTATTTCTAAGCTAGATTATGTGAATGTTATCGGAAAACATATGATATCACTTGATATCTCATCATTATTCACTAATATGCCATTACTAGAGATTGTAGAGTTTGTATGTCAACAAATATCGAAAAGGTAAATCAACATTGGGATTCCTATACACATCCTTAAGGAACTGCTTCTTAAATGTACTATGAATGTACATTTTATCTTCAATAGTTCTCATTACAGATAGATTGATGAGATAGCTATGGGTTCACTATTCGGTTCTACTTTAACTGATATATATTTCTTGTCAAACTGGAGAACGGAGTATTGAAAGATGTCATCAATGAGATGAATATGTATCACCGTTATATTGACAACACATTCATTATCCTGGATCAGAATGTGGATGCAAACGATGTGTTAAGAATATTTAATGAAGTGCACCCTTCACTCACTTCTTAGATGTTTTACTAAGCAGAAGAAAAGATGGTTCACTCAGCAGATGTGTTTACAAGAAGACTAAATCTTTCTTAGTCATGTACCAATTCGGTACAAAGCAAATCTGGTTAAATGCCTCACTAACACAGATCGAGAAGAATATGTTCGAATGATCTAGTACAGAAGGGGTTAGAATATATTCGTAATTCATTGATTGAAATGAGCTATCCTAACATTTTCATAAAAAGACACATGGACAAAGCTAGGGGAAACAAATCTGGAATTATTACTGTACAAAAGAAACTATTGTTTATGAAATTGCAATTTAATAGAGATGTAACCGGAGAAGTTTTATATCTGAGACTCTCTAGATCTGTTAAAAAGACTTTCTACGCCTCACAACTTTGTCTATCATTTTTCAGTCGACCAATTGTTGCTACTCACACAAAAGATCAGGCAGCTAGTTTTACCATTTTTGTGTGTATTGACAAGTTTATCTTCTCCTATGGAGAGAGTTATATAGAGCGTACTACTAGACAACTTAACCGACGTGTTGAGAAAGGGACGGACAAAATCCATCAGAAGTCCTGTTTTGTCTCACCTTATTGATAGTTGTCACTTGGTAGATAAGAACAATCCCTTCACCATTTTATTCACCCCATACTACCACCTCATCTTTCGAAACCTATTCAAACACGTCTTCTATAACAGATACATCAAACTGTGGGAATTCGAGCTAGTAATCCTAGTCTTTGTATCCATAAGAAGTTTGTACATCCCTTATCTCTCCCTTGGCCAGGGAATACTTAATTAGTAACTTTATCATTCAGTTTTTTTCCTACCTCTTTTCTTATTCTTCACCCCTTTTATATACTTACCGTATTTGTCTAGGCTTTGTTTACCCACTTACCTTGTCCTTCAGTATTATATAACCTTCAGTTTCTCAAGCTTTTGACTCACTTTGATTATCTCAGTATCTACATTTCCCTGCTACTTTCTTGGTTCTTATCATCATTATCATCTATATTGCCGAGTGCTTTGGTCAACATTATCACTTTATCATTATCATTATTATTGAATTTTGAGGGAGTTGTGGGGATTTGGAAATATTTCCAGTTGTTATTCATCGTGGACTGACATCAGTTGGAGGAACAAAAGAAACCTGGGAGCACTGGTCCTAGTATGGGACTCCTCAGCAGTGCGCACCCACGACCCCACAAGGGGTCGAACCCACGACTTTCGGGTTCCGTGGCCAGCATGTGGGGACAAAGCCCTAACCCTGATGGTTATGAGGACAGTTACTCAACGATGACATTAGGTGGTGGTCGCGCTATATCGTGAGCTAACAGAACTTGGAAATAGGGACCATCGAATTCTGACCCAGTAGCTCAATGGCAACGTGCTGGCCACGAAACCTGAAAGTCGTGGCTTCGATCCCTAGCGGGGTTGTGGGTACGCACTGCTAAAGAGTTACATACCAGGACGAAACAGCTGTCCACTGCTCCCTGGTTTCCTCTGTCCCTCCAACTGATGTCAGTTTACGATGAATAACAACTTGAAGTTACTATTATTTATTGACATACTTGTTATTCTCCGCTGCTTTGTTGGATCAAACTGCTCGACCTCTGTTGGCACATGGGCTCCTATGCGGATACCTCGATAATGCCTGGATGTTAATTATGATAAATTGGTTGATTGTGGCTAGCGGAAGAACCCAGGACGCGCGTCCCGCCCTACTTGGGACTCGTCAGCTGCATGTACCTGCACCCCAGTGGTTATTCCCACTGGGACTCGAACCTCGTACCCACCACCCCGAACGCCACGGCGTTGCCTATTGTGCCATGGGGGAACGAAAGCCGCTTTTTGTACAACGGGTAGTAGTCACTGCTGCCTACTTACCCGTGGCATAGCGGGTAACGTCTTGGTGTTTGTAGCGATGCCTACGAGGTTCGAGTCACAGCGGGAACAGCATCACTGGGGTGCGGGTACATCCAGCTGACGAGTCCTTAATAGGGAGAAACGCGCGTCCTGGATTCTTCTGCTAGCCACAACCAACCAATTTACCATTATGATTCTTATTTGTATTATTATCACCATTGTTATTTTAAAAGATTTATCACACTAACCGACAAATCTACATGATTGGTTTATTGTTAAGCTATTTGTATCAGAGTAAAGGCTGAAGAGAATCTAGTTGAAAACAATATTGTTCACTTATTATTCTAATACATGACAATAACAATAGTTTTTGTTTCCAGTGTTGTTTGATTGCTTAGTATATCTTATAATACATATTCCAACCAATTTCTGAGAATTTAATAATGGGTATGCGTTTTAATTTACATTGAAGGACACTAAATGTCAAATCAGAAATCGAATTAGTTACTCATACGTGGACACAAAGTTAACTTGTTCATCATAGGAAATGTATTCCCATAGCGAATCTGTTATGATTTAGAAACTGCTGTGTGCTATAGCCGCTAACAATACACAAATATCGACTATCCGCCACCAACGTTTAACAAATTCCTAGTTGATTTTTAATTCGACTAATTTGTGAAGAAGACATGATGGATGTGTAGAAACGTATATGGGGTCGAATGACCGAAGGCCGAAAAACGAAGGAAAATATATGTAATACACAGATAGTTGACTGTTGGCTGATCCACTGTTTATTTGGTCTCTCTCCAGACTAGTCTTTTCTCTCTATCCCCAAATCACCTCCCTCTTCGAAAGAATGTTATTTGGGGTCAAACTGGGTCGCACTGTCTTCTTCTTGCCCTTATCTGACCGACACAGAGAGAGTTTCTTGTTGTTACGGGGGGTGGGGAGGAGATCAGTAGTCCTTTCGATATTCTTTCTGTAGGCAGGTTCATGAGCATGTAAATCATCGATCGAACCAAGAGATTTACCTATCGATCAAGAAAGAGATCTGCTGTGATATCTGGAGGATGATCTCTATACACGTCGTTGTGTGTGTATTGGCTGCAAAAACCGTCCTTATGGCCCCTAGCATTAAAGTGTCAGCATGGATGTTGTTTAGCTGGACAAGATATGATGAAATGCCAAGCACCACAATGCCAGCAAGACAATAGGGGTGTCTTCTTTGAGGGTCGGTTGGTATCAGGTGAATTACTGGGCCGATGAACAGACGAAATAAGGTCAGAGGGTGATCCGTAAGAATGAAGTGTGCGTACTTCAGAACCACCCTGGAGCCCGGATTGGGTTAAACTCGTATGGGCTGCAGGTTATTCAGTCGTTGATATTTTGCAGACATGTCATTCAGTGTCTACACCGTGGCGTCGAAAGTGTGATCAAGTGGGTTCTGCAACGAAATCATGTTACAGTGTTGGTCGAGTTCATGTGGACCACGCTTTCAAAGTGGGAGACATACTTTCCAGGAATCATCTCGGCCAGCAAAATCCACTTTGTAGTAGTCTTCGTAACGCCTGAACCAACTACCGAACGTTTCATTGGTATCAGGATCGTATTGAGATTCAGTGATGTTATTGGCGATTCCATCAACTGAAGGGGCTATTGAAACTGGTGCAGTAGGCGAGGATTCAGTACCAGAAATTTTGGATTATGTAAGTATCTCTATAATCCTCATTTTTTTGTACGAGGAAACTGTCCAACTGTCCACTTCCCAATATTTCACCCCTGTCGCCATTGTTATGGTTCTAAAACTGAAATGGTTGTTAACGATGCACAGATTGGCTGATCCACCGTCTATCTGTATAACTGTAGATGTGATAAGATAAAGCCCATTTTGGTTGGTCCATCTCCAGTCTAGTCTTCTCTGTCTATCCCTATAGAACCAATACGTATGTCTAGGGGAAGTTGGGTTAGGTTGTAGGAAGGCCTATTATGACCGGTCGATAATATGACACCAGTCCATGAAGTTGCTGACTGTCCGACTGACCTATTTAGAGTCCTCAGGTTGATACGGATCATTGGTTGTAGACTCTTGGTGAGATGGCTGAAAATCGGTCACAATGGCGCAGATGTATTCACTGCCTACAATTGGTGGATTCATGCGTTGTTTCAATAACGAGTGGTTAGAGGGAATTGTTTGACTTATTGTGTTGTATTTATGTATGATCATATGGAAATTTCTTGTGATTCCCTCTATACTTCTTTTTTAGATGCCTGATTGTACTGGTATGGTTATGGAAGAGAATCCTGATAAACTGATAATGAATTTTCTACATTTTCTACGTAGTATTGGACTAGGTGAGTTAATTTTTACGTTATATTTATCAACAAATACTTTTTCTTTTCTACACAGCCTACTGAAATGAAAATGTTAGTAGTAACATCATGTAATGTGCAAATTTCGACCGAAATAGTGAAATGATGTGTAATACACATTGTTTATGGAGATAAAATAACTGAGTCAAGTATGATTTCATACACTTACAAGGTGGAAACAAAGCTTAGGCTAGAAAGAAAGAGTACCTTAGCAGAGCTATCAGACCAATCTTATCATATGATTAAAAATTAGGAGAAATTTATACTTTATATCTGACTAACAAACTTAACAAATTCAACTTTGAGTGTTGTGGTTATTTATTTATTGATTCCAAGTTGGTATATTCATCACGGTCGACTGATTGGCATCACTTAGAGAACCAGTAAACATCTAGGAACATTAGACAACTGCCTTGTTTTAGTGTTGCAGAAAATTATAACACTTACATAGTCTATGCGGAGTAATTTATATTCTCTTTGTTATAAATGGATTGTTAAGCGATCCTAAATCCAACTGGTAGATATATGTTTTCAGATTGAAGTTCATCATATGCTGACATTAGTTGGGGGAGTATTTGAAACTTCAGAGTGCTGGACAGCTGTTTTTGCCTAGTGTAGGACTCCTCAGCAGTGCGCACTCATCACCCCTTACGGACACCGATCGAACCCAGGACATTCAGGTTCAGCAGGTTACCACTGAGCTAGCCACTGGTTTGGAGTCCAATAGTCCGTATTTCCTAGTCCTATCAGTTCACGATATACTGTGACCTACATTCAATGTTCGACTTGATTGACTCTATTGGTGACCACCTCTCATTGGAACTTCGGGAATCATCTCTCAAAGCTAGTTACTCAACAACGACATAGCATATGGGTTGCGCTATATCGTGAACTGACAAAAGTAGAGAATATGAATCATTAGATTCCGACCCAGTGGTTAGCTCAATGGTAACGTGCCGGTCGCGGATTCGATCTATAGATGTGTGGAGTGATGGGATGCGCACTGCTGAAGAGTCCCATACGAGGATGAAACAGCTGACTGTTCAATGTTCCTCCATGATGAATTTCAACCGAAAATTAATTAATATACCTCCTCAAACCTCTAGATGGTAAATATATGTGGTTGGTTACTTACGGATATATCTCTTATACTTTATCGATTGCTGACTGTTCGATGTGTAGTTTATCTCGATTATATCCAGGGATTATTTTGCTTTATTGATACTCTTCCTTGAATTCAGGTAATGGGTTTAACTGACTGACTGACTGATGAGGTCAATGTAGAACTAATGTAAGGTAAAAACTTAGACACTGTGTGCTATATCATTGTATGCTATATCGAATGAACAATCTAATATGGAATCCATGTAAGACCTCATACTTAGTTACATCTGTTCAACTTTTCACACATTATGATAGTATAAAAAGAACAAGTGGATAGACAGAGAGTGATATTAAAGTAGATGAAGTTGTATGAGAGAATAGGCCATCTGAAGATAAAAGTCAGTTCACAGAGTGAATATATATCTACGCAGTTGACAGCGATTTCCAACCATATCACCAAGACTCTCTAACCACTGATTCTTTTTCATCTAGTTGACCTGAACCAGGTAAACCATATTTCCTCAACTGACTCGGATCAACAACTAGGTACTTCACTGAGTGTGAATCCTAAACTCTCTTCCAACATGTTCCAAGTTAACTTGCCTATCTTGCCTAGCGTCTTTCGCTTGACTTCAACATTGCTCACAAATATGGTGATTCCACAAAACCAGGTTCAAAAGATCTCAGAGAACAGAGGTCACTGGAGATGTGCTACTGAAGCCCTATGTTCCATTAGGAACCCAAGGGACTAATAATAATAATAATAATAATAATAATAATAATAATAATAATAATAATAATAATAATAATATAAGACTCTATCATTGCTGTGAAGACACGTATAATCGAAACTTTGTAACTGTTTCACATCTACGTTTAATAGCCATAATTCCTAGTCGTAGGTAGATGTTTTGTGAGTAATTAAGGCTATACGGAATACAACTGATTAGTATTGCATATAGTAAGGATCGAAAATTAGTTCGATTGTGTAGTTTACACATTGTCAGAGATTATAGCGCTTTTAAGATAAATTGTGTTGTTTTTGAACAAGGAGGGAGAAATAGAATAATATTGCAAGTTTTTCAAGTGTTGCTTATGGGATAACTGATTGATCAGCTTTGATGTTTAGTCACCATCAAAGGGAGAAACTTATAGGAAGTTGTGTCTTTCATCTATCTGCCTAGGCAGCATCGTTTCAACTACAGGTGGCACAGGCACGGATGACGATGTCATAGCCAGCCAAGATCGGAAAAACAGCAAGACAGGCCTTCCAGCAATAATCTGAAATGATCAGTGTGGAGATCTACTCTACTGCTGTGCACTCAGTATAAAGCGTGACCAACATCCGGATTTTCAACACAAAGTCAGTCAAGTCAGTGCTGCTATAAGGTTCAGAAACTTGGCGCGTCACCAAAAGCATTTCCATAAACTACAGACATTCATCAACAGTTACCTACGCTCGATACTGAAGATCAGGTGAGGAGGCCAGAAGGAATAAGCAACAAGGAACTCTGACTGGCTGGCAACTCACCAAGCAACCAAGAACCCATCGCCCAAAAAATATGCAGAATAAGAAAGTGAAGATGGATTGGATTGGATTGGACGTAGACTGAGGAGACCATTTGGGGACATCATACGTCAGGTTAGACCGTCGAGTGGAAGCGAAATGGCAAATGACGAGTTGGTCGTCCGACTGTGACATGGAAGAGATAGTGTGAGGAGGAAATGAAAGCTTGTGAGCAGTGGTGGAGCCAGGTTAAAGGAACTGAAGAGAAAAGAGTGAAATGGTGACATGCTACTGAAGGCCTATGTTCCACTGGGAATCCAAGAGACAGATAACAGTAAATAAAATAGTGTGGGAGCGCGGATACAAAAATGACGTTTTCTTGGGGTGGGTTACACATGGCTTTTCTCAGAAGTCTGAAATGTAGACATATTAGTTAGAACGTCAACTTTGAATCCATATCTTCCGGCATAGGGAAATCGCAAGGCTGAGCTTTTCTAACACCCCCTTCTCCTATAGGGAAGGCAGAAGTCAGCATAGTACTTCAGGTTATTCAGCCAGTAGTAAAACTTCTCCCTCATACTTCCATAATACCGTAAACATTTTTGTGATAGAGATAATCGCTTTTTATGTAATAACTATCCAACAAGACTTTTTGGTATGGTAGTACCTCGAGGGAACTATCATTCCGCTAGGATGATAGCTCATTAGGTCATTGTGACATATGCAATCTCGACCACCACATCAAAGTAGCGTTTATTCGCTGCGTTTCTACCTACCTTAGTACTGGTAACTAGTAAGTAGTATCATAAACCTTCACGCATAAATTCTGATTCATGGCATAGTTTGTAGACATATACTGGGTCGCATTCATTACTTAGTGTAGTGTCATATTACTCTAGATAGTTAGGTGCAAGTTTAGTGCAATATCATATATGATGGTCAGTCAACAAGTCATGATCATGATTATTACGTAATCAGTTTTTAACCTAGTTATAGTGTAACTAATTGCAATCACGAATACAATTTGTGTGATCAACTTATTATGTGCATGTCTGTGTATATATCGAATTTCAAGTTTCTCAATGATCATTCACTGGTCTACCATATGCTCTGATCGTGCTCTTGTCACACAGAGATTATTAGTATGTTTTAAGTGAAAGGTTATATATGTATGATCTACATGGGTGTTTTCCGTATTCAATGAGGGTTATATGGGTGAGTATATACGTGTATTGTCCTATATCTGCTCATGTTTTGAAATCTACGCTTGAAGGATTTAGACGATATGGAGCTGTGAGTCATTGGAATAAGTAGTCGACTTTCAACTAGTGGGCCACGGGTTCGAACACTGTTCCACCTACCGATGTTAGGACAACCAAGTATTATCACTAGCCCTTATGCACATAATAGGTGTGTCTCATTGCTTACTGCACGAATGTGCACAAGGCTACTGAGTATATTTCAGTCCCATTCGACAGCACTTGGTTATGCGAATTTGAATCGCATCACTTCCTTGAAGGTTACAGATACACCTTAGTCTGACGACTGCCAACAAACACAAAACTTAAGTCCAGGTCTTCCTACTGATTGCATCCACCATGGCGATGAGCTTCCTGGCTTGGTGGCTACATTGCTAAAATAATCAACAGAATTTGATTAGTACTTCTGGTCAGCGGTTGGACCTTGTAGCTCAGTTGGTAGGGCATCGGGCCGGAAAACCATTGGTCGCTAGTTCGAACCCCTCCACGGTCTAAATTTTCATTTCACCTTTAATCATCACCCAGTATAAATATGGAATCAGTTACTCCCTACCGATGACTAATCAACATATCACTTTCTCAGTCATGTTAGGACAACCGTCGGGTTCCTGTTTAGTGGTCATAGAAACAGCTAGTGACCAACAGATATGCTAATATGTTTGAAGAAATCAACTGTTATCATATATCATTATTCCTTTTTATTTTTGTTCTTGTTAACTGTTAGAATTTATATGATGATTTGAAATATGTTAACATTTGAAGGGATCGTTCACAATTATATCACCTTTTCGAATTGATATTGCTTATTTCACTAAAGTTTATCCACATTCACTATATGATGTGTTTGCTTATTTCATCTGCCTTACTATTCCTGGATACTTTAACATATCACCATTATCTTTATAAATTCTACTTCAGATTGAAGTTTGACCATTCACAAATATCCCTTTAATAAAAACAATCTATTTTCCATGTAATTACAATTCAATAATGAACATTACAGACAAACGGATAGAGTAACAAAATAGGTTCATGAGTTGAGTTCACTCTTAGTTGATTGCTTGATAACTACTACACTGATCAGTTCTATCCTCATCATCTATGAGAGGAGA